GGAAGCGAGCCTGGCTTGGGGCGATTCCCGGGACGGGCTGGGCCTGCGGGTCCCACCCCGCCCCGCGCCTGGACCCCGGGGGGCAGCGTCCCGCTGCGGGCCCTAGGCGGGGGCGGGCGAGCTCGGGTCTTCAAGCCCAGGTTAAAGACTACAGACTTTGAACTTTCCGCAGGTCTGTAAAGGGCAGCCCCCTCGGAAACAGTGACAAGCTCCTCCTCCCCTCTGTCCACAGCGCGGACCCTAGATTAGCTCCAAGCGCCGGCCGGCCCTCCTGCCACCCACCCTGGGCCGCCGGCTGGGGCGCCGGGCCCTTCCCGGGACCGCAGACCCTCCCCCGTCCCAGCCGGGCGCGCCGATGGTACGTCCCGGCCCGCCCAGGTGGTAGCGCCCGCGCCGGCCTACCGTAATTCCCCTACGCCCAGCGCCCCTAGTCGGCGCAGAGCGGACCGAGCCCGCCAGGCGGCTCCGGTCCCCCTCTCCCTGCGGGCCTGTCGGACTCTGGCAACCTTGGCCCGAGCCCCAGCCACTGGGTAGGAGAACCTTGTCCCTAGGTGAGTCTCACGGGGAAGCTGGGGTCCGGACGGGGGTGGGTCCGGGCGCCAAGACTCTCCCTGAATGAATGAACAGAACCCTGGGTGAAGGGTCCCGCACAGTCCTAGGCCAGCAGGTGGGTGTCGATGGGCGCCACTGGCCCTGCCTCCGCTTACTTGAGGGTGGAATGGGCTCCAGCGCCCGCCTCCACAGTGACTCTAGGGTGCGGTCGGCTGGGAGACATGGTCGTGAGGAGTCTGCAGGGCCCCAGCCCTGGTGTGAGGGCTGCTGGCGGGGCGAGGGCAATCTGAAGGGGCTTTGGCGCGGCTTGGTTGGGCAGTTTCGGCAACCTTGCCCCACCTGGGCGTCCGAGTCGGTCCCAGGCGGAAGGCCCTCTCGAGGCCGGCAGGGGGCGCGAGAGTCTGCACCTCAGGCAGCCTGGGCGAAGCCTGGCCCCCGCTAGGGGGAAGGGCAGAGGGACAGGACCCATGAAGCCAGGAGAGGCCCTGGCCCACCTTGATGAAAGACTGAGGACTTGGAGGCCCAGGGGGCCCGGGGCCCCACAGATTCCTCCATTGCCTTCCCCAGGTTTGGGGGGCTCTAGGAGGATCTCACTATTTCTCTGCCCCTTTGCCAGAGTCCAGGCACACAATGGGACCCAGCAGCCATCCCTAGATAGAAAATTCTAGAGAACTGGCCAGTGCCCTCTTCACACAGGTGGGGAAGGGCAGAGGGGTAGATGGGCCCCAGAAGCAGGTCTCCCGCAGCCCAGGCCTGTGCTCTCTGCCCCACTCCCTCCCAAGGAGGCTTTTGTGTGGCTCTGAAGAAAGAGGCGCCAGGAGAAGGGCACAGGCTGCCACGCCGGGGTCCTGGCTCCAGGATCTGGCACATCTGTGCAGGGACTGGGCAGGAGGTGAAGTTCGTGAACCACAGCCTTTCCTTCTCCCCCTAGCACCGACCAGTCCCAGCTGTTCGGCTCCCTGGGGAGGAAGGGGCCTTGCTGGCTTCTGCAGCTGGTGCAGTAGGGCTGGCCTGCAGAGAGGTGCTCTACACCCCTGCCGTCTGCCCGGCACAGGGCAGGGCCTTAGGGCAGGCTCTGCGTCCGGGTGGACCCCAGAACCCGAGGATGAGGGGTGAGGCCGAGACCTAGGGGAAGGGAGGAGCCAGGTGGGCCGCTGGGAGCAGGAGAGCAGCCTGGCAGAGCTGGCTCCCCACCGGCTGACGTGCCCACGCGTGCGGCCTCCGCCCCTGGATTTCCAAAGTACCAGATGGGGCCCTGGGGCTGGTAGGCTCCCAGGGGAGCTTAGCTTGGGTAGAGAGCCCCTGGGCAGGGGTATCCCCCTGGTCAGGGAGCCCCAACTCCTGGTTCTAGGCCAGTCTTCTGTGGACAGAGCACAGAACTGGCTCCAGACCTTGGCCCAGACCTGTGACCTCTCCTAGACAAGGAGCTCCCTCTCCCACTGCAGACCAGGCTGGGGCCCCAGCCCACTGTGGGGGAGGGGATGCCCACAGGCCTCTGCTTTTCTGGGGCTGGGGAGGTGGTGCTGGGCGGGAGTGGGAGGGGGGCTCCTGCCTTGGCGACTCCATTATTCATCAGCCCCAGCATCTGGTTTCTGGGTATCAGTTTCAACAAGCCAGTCCTGACTCATGAGCCTGGAGCTGTGGCTGGGCTGGGGAGGGGCCCCCTCCCCAGGGAGTCAGGGGCCAGGACCTTTTGGGCCTGCACACGGGCCATTTCAGCTCTCTCGTGTAGAGAGGAGGTGGGAACCTCAGAGCCTGCTGAGGCCTCCTCCCTCCCCTGGTGCCGGGGCCTTGGGTGCCTTTCCTCCCCTGCTCTGCAGGTTTCTTGACCCTGCACTCTTGGCTCTGGGGCAACAGGGCCCTGGCTTTCTAAGGAGCAGCCCCAGCCCGGGATGGAGGACCCAAGCAGGAGCATGATTCAGGGTGGCCAGAACCTGGTCACTCAGGTGACCTCTGGTGACCTGTCCTGGCCCAGCCCTGATGGTCTCCACTTGATGCAACCTGGTTACCCCAGGCCCGTGGGCTTGGGGATCTGCCCTGTCCCCAAGGGGGTGGACCTCAAGGCCCTGCTGCCCAAACCACCACTTGGCTGGTCTTCATGTCCCCATGCCTTCCCTGTGCCTGAGGCACATGGGTAGTGGTCCAGTGGGCACCTGCTGTTAGTACAAGTCACTTTACCTTTCTGAACCTCAGTTTCTTTGTCTGTTGAATGGGGGTAGTACCAGTGTTTCCTCCTTATGGTCTTTTAGAAGAGTGAACAGGACTTGGCACAGGCCTGGGCACTTGGGACTGCTCAGCGGCTGGCCACGGGGGGCAGCAGTAGGGGCAGGGGGCATGTGCAACACCTCCAAGCTTTGAGGTGGAAACGGACCTGCCTGGGGCCAGCAAGCCAAGGTCATGGATGCTAGGAGGAAGGAGAGAACCTGTGGACAGGCAGTGGGGAAAGCTTTGTTGACTTTTGGCCACAGAAAGCGACATCCTGGCCAAGACCTTTCGGGCCCCAGTGGCCTTCTCTGGCATGAAGCCCCTTCCTCCGCTTTCATTCATCCATTTATCGTCTAGTCTGCACGGAGCACCTACGGTGGCCAGGACTATTCTAAGTGCCGAGGATGAAGCGTGGGCCAGACAGCCAAGACTCCTGGCCACTGGAGAGGATAGTCTAGCAGGGAAAAGTGATAATCAAGAAGGGAACAAAGAAATAAAATAATTTCAGGTAGTAATAGCTGCTTCGGAGGAAATAATTCAATGTAAGGGGTTTGAGCGTTCCAGGGTAAGGGGCTATTTATTTTGGGAGAAGGGTGAAGGCCTCCTTGGGAGGTAGCAGTTAAGGTGGGGCCCAGTGCCAGCTGTTGGAAGATCAGGGGCACATTGTGTCCCAGACAGAATGCAGAGGTGCAGGCTCTGAGCTTGGTGAGTTGTAGGGATGAAGGAATCCAGCACGGCAGACCACCCTGTGGAACTGGCCAGATGGCACGGTAGGAGCCAGGCCACAGTTGGGATTTTATTTTAAGCAAGATGGGAAGCCACAGGAGGGTTTGTAGGGGAGTGACATGATCAGGCTTTAGTTTACAAGAGATCTGCCAGTGGTGTGGACAGGGGGATGGCTCAGGATTTGGGAGCAGAGGGGGTCCTGGAAAGCTCCTGGCCCGAATAAATTGCTGCTCTCCCACCCTCTTTCCACCCAGAACCAGATTGAGGGGGAGCTGACTAGGGGATGGGGGGGGCGGGCGCTGATGACAGCATGTCCCCCCTCCCCCATGGGTCCTGAGGAGTTCCCCAGGGAGGCTATTCCAGAACCTCAGAGTCAAAAGTCTGGGTGTCAGTCCTGCCTGTGGACTTTTCCCTCAGTTTATCCGCCACGCGATGAATGAAGATAACAGTGTCCGCCTCCGCCTCCCAGGAATGAGTGTAAAAGCGCTTTGACAACCTACAGTGGGGACCCCGGCACCACACCCCAATCCTGGTCGGCGTCCTCGCCAGTCTCTGATGAGCGCCCCCTGGCGGTAGGGCACCCGGAAGCTCCCGCGTGGCCCCTGGGCCGGAGGGACCAGCCCGCAGCAGTAGGGGCCTCACGGAAAGCTGAGTTGGGCTGCGGGGTTTTCCGCGACACCCCCGTCTCACTGTGCTCCTGGAGGCTCCCCAAGGACTACCCTCTCCGCCCCGCGCGCCTGCCTTCCGCCCGCCGCCTCCACCTGTGGTCACCGGCGCCCCTCTGCTCCTCTGCCAGCACCACTGGCCTGGGCAGTGGGAGCGGGGGTCCCCCGGGCTCAGGCTCTGAGGCGGGGGTCTCTTGGATTGTGGGCGGGCACTAAGAGGACCCTCAGGAGGGCCTCTGAGCGCCGGTTGTGGCTGAGGCGGGGAAGTCGGTGGTCAGAGCAGAGACAGATGTCCTCGGGGCTGGACAGGGAGCGGGGGTCTGAGGACCCGGAGGGGGATGTGTCCCTGGTCCGGTCCCCCCTTTTCTGCCGCCAGCATTAAGGGCGCTCCCTCAGGGGAGGGGGAAGAGGTCCCCCGGGCTGAGGCTCTGGGGCGGGGGTCCCCAGGGCTGGGGGGAAGGGACTGAGATGCCCTTTCGGCCGGGAGGGATCTCCTGTGCCCCAGCCGTTTGCGTTGGGGTCGGGATGGAGGTCTGAGCAGAGTGGGGTGCCCGCGGGACTGGGCGGGGGCCGGGATTCCGCAGTCAAGGCGAGGGCGTTTGTCACCGGCGGGCCCCCTGCCCCCAGCATCCAAGGAGCTCTCCTGGAGGAAGGAGGAGGTCCGGGAGGGACCCTCTGAGCCCGGGACCTTTGGGCCGGGGGTCAGAGCCGGGCTGCGGGCGGGAGGGTGGGTGTTCCCCGCCCCCGGGGTCCCGGCGCGCTCAGCGGGCGGGCGCGGCCGCACAATGGCAGGAAGCGGGGCTCCGCGCTTTGTCCGGCGGGCGGCGCAGACCGCCGCTTCCTCCGGCCGCCATGGGGACGGGACCCGGCGTCTCCGGGCGCCGCGCGGCCTCCAGGCCGAGCCCCGGGCTGCCCTCCCGGGACTCCGAGCCCGGCTGGGCGGGGTGTCGCGGCCGCCACGGGGAAGACCAGGTAGGGGAGCGGGGGGCCGGGCGGGGAGGCCGGGGCGGGTGCGCGCGCCCTCGTCCGCGCGCGTCTCTAAGCGGATGGGCAGGCGGCGGCCGAGACCCCTGCCCCGGGGGCACACCGCGGGGGTGCGGGGGGCGATGAGGGGCTGGGGGGCCGGGGGGGGGG